AATACTAAAAATCACTTTATAGTATATAAAAAGTTTATTTAGAGAAACAATTTGTAAATGTGTAGTTGTAAAATTAGTGATAGGTATCTTCACTAAAAGCATCTGGCTATGGTTCTTTATGTGACCATTTCTTTCTTTGGTCAGCCTTGCCTGTTTTCCCAGGAGTTTCAAACTTTCCATCATTCTTAAAACCTTCGTTGACTATCCGACTCTCTGATTTTCCTGAAAAAAAAAAGTAAAAAAAATATGTAACAGAATAGAAACAATAACTTATTGACATGAAGCAATTAATTCAAAATTGGTAGAAAGCCTGACCGAGTTGAACCATAATAACGTATCAAAAGAAATGGTCGTACTACAATATTACCTATTTACAATCTCAATCTAACCTAAAAATGTGCAATGTAAACAATGCCTTTTTTGGTCTCAAAATCGTAAATTGAGTAAATTTGTAACTTCAGGCAGATTACAAACAAATAGTTACACGATTACATACCCGTCATAGATGCTGTTCGCCCATAAACATCATCCAAATCCCACAAAATTCGTCCAGCTTGGTAGTCTTCGAAACATCGCTGGAAAACTTTAAAAATCACTTCCCGCGTGCCACTCCGATTTACTTTACTCATTTTTATACCTTTCTGTGTAGTTTCGTCTTAATTTATTACAGTTTAATCCAAACTATAAAAAATATACAAAAGGAAAACTGTTCCACAACTGAAACTCGATGACAGCTGATGTACATAAGTTTGGTGTTGCCAGACACATGAATAATGTTAATTCATCAAACATTCATGTCACGACTTTATAGACAAACTTGTACTAATCTATAGAACTTTATTTTTTTTTATTCCTATAACTATCGATTATCTATATAAACACAAAGTATAACAATTAAAACACATTAAATGGATATTTTCGAAGGCGAACAATACAAGACATATTCTTATAAGATCTCTTAGAATCTTAACGATAGGCTATCTTTTCCAAATATCAACTTACAAATAGTTTCTCTGCGCCACCGCTCGTCGCCATGGCAACCATTTATCATCCTCTAATATAACAAGACCACTGACGTATAAAAAAAGGCGGACAGAGTTTCGGCTTAAGGCACCGTAATGGCGGCGGCTATTGATGAGTGAGTGAATTGTAGGGTTGCTAGGTTAGCCAATTTTTTACCAATAAAACACAGTAAAAACATGAAAATAATTTGATTGTTCAAAATATTAAATTTTTTTGCCCGACTGCGGAGGATAATGTTTTTCGAGCGTATGTATGTATGTATGTCCAATAATATGGCACGCACTACAGCCTGAACGTCTTGACGGATTTTGACATGCGAGGTGTCATTAGATTTATCGTGATTGTGTGAGTGGCACTCGGTATATTAAAATTTCAAAAAATCAAAATAACAGATTTTATGCGCCAAAATGAAACATTTTGAAAAAAAGTATAAGTATTTTTATAACCCGTCAAGCGAGGTATCAAAATGAAGGGTTTTAAAAGAATATTTAGAAAATATGCAACTCGTGTAATTAAAAAATAATGAAATTCAAATGTCGAAAATAAAAAAAAATGTACTAAAAAGAAAAAAAAACAAGTCCAGTAGTCTAGAATTCTGTTTAATAAGGAGCAAAGTTACTTTAACAGTCATTAGAAATTCTAGAATGTATCGAATTTTCTCAATATTGGGTAAATCAACTAAATATAGATGGTATGGCCTGCATTCTCTTTCATATTTCTTAAAATAAACTAACACCCATTGAGAAAGTACTCATCAGATCTCCAGTAAATTAATATGCAGCCATTTCGCTAGTAAACTGATTTAAACAAAAAAAGAATCATCATAAACGGTCCACGAATCTCGGAGATCTGCGCGAACAACAATAAAAAAAACAAATATGACGCATTGCGAACCACTTTCTTTTCGAAGTCGGTTAAAAATTTTTATCAACCTTTTGAGGTAATGCATACGTAATAACACGCCGGAGTTCTCCTTTAGTTGTATATAAGTCTTGAGCTTCAAAATGAAGACTAAATATGACACTACTACATATTTGTTTGGCAATCATTCATTTTCCAGTAATTTCTCCATACTACATTTCCTTTAGGAAATCTGATAAAAAAGAATAATAAATAATAGATTGAAGTTAATGTCATCCGACTGTCGGCAATTTTTATTACTTTAGGTAATAAGGTTACATGAACATTGGCAACACTGGGCTTTAGACTAATCATTTCGTCCTTAAAATTAAAATTGATTTCGATTTCTAAAAACTAGAAAAAAGTGATTCAATTATTCATTTACCTATGAAACGTGATTTCTGGTTTTTTTTTCTTTCGGTCACTACGGTTTTTAAATCTTTTTACAAGCAAGATATCTTGTTTAGCTCATTTTTTATCTCCACGTAACGTGTCGGCTGCTTTGACGTTTGCATGCGTAGTGGCTGACTATTGTGTGAATGTGTGCGTGCCAGCCACGGTTCCCAACTTAGGGGTTTTGCCCCCAGATTTAGGGGCTATGTGTTAAAACGGACTTTTTAGGGGCTGGAATTTTTTGGGGGTTCTTTTAGGGGCTTTTAACAAAACTTGCAATTAAATCGAAAAACAAAGTGTATGTTTTCTTTCAGTTTTGTGCGTAGAATGGAACGCACCACGATATGAAACGACTGAACTGACTGTGTGGCGGTCTGTTACCTAATGCTGTACGGATTAAAGTTCTTTGCCTATCACCAATGGTTAAACAATAAAACAACAACATAGCAATCATGTTCGTTCTTTCATTCGTTCACGTCATACTCACGGCTCACCATTCATTTTTGTGATTCATTCAATAAAATAATTTACTGTAACTAAATAAGAAACTTTAATTTATGAGCAGCGAAAGAATTTAGGTATTAAGTAGGTACATATAAAATTCTATATTTAGGGGATTTTAGGGGAATTTGAAAAATACTTAGGGGAAATTTTTGGTAAGGGTTGGTAACACTGGTGCCGGCTTGTACGTACAGCGACCTGGCCGACTCTGAGCGACACAGTTTATTGTTTACCGGGACTCTGTCCGCCTTTTTTTATAAGTCCATGAACAAGACTAACAAAATATTAATGAATTCGTATACAAATGACTTATAACTAACCAATCCACGTGAAATTACACTTATATACATATTTAGATAGTTGATGATTCAGACTGTTATAGACGTTTCACTGCGCACGTAATCTTTATTTCTAGTCAGTTCGGGCGTCTCGTATAATATAAATATACAAATTCTGTCTCCTGATCCTAGCCTCTAAATTCTGATCCAACATGCATCAATTTCCTACTAATGTTTCCCTACCTTTGACACTGGCAATGCATTTTTTTTAAATAAGTTTTACGGCCGTGAATTTCTCCATTTCGGCCAACTGGCAATGCACAAATCGTTAGGGATGAAACGATACCATCTAGGTACCCATACTTTTACTTGATACTGTATCGGTCCTGAAGAATCGATGCCTATTCGGTATCGATACATTACAATTACAAATTCAGACACAGTTTTAATTTAAGGAAAACAAAATAACGGCTTATACCACACGATGAACAAATGATTGACTGTGAATCTTGGGAACAAGTATGGTCTGTTTCTAGTAAAAATAAAGGAAAGCATTACTCACAAATTCAAACTTTCATTCCTACAAAGCCTTGGTTTTATAATTTTAGATTTGGCAAGATAACGACCTCTATCATAACTCGGATGAGACTGGGTCATGTTTGCACTCCTTCTCATCTGGCCAGATTAGGAATAGTTAATAGCAGTAAGTGTAATTGCGGCGCTGATATTGGCGATTTAAACCATATTTTATTTGCATGCTCCTTATTTAAACCATATTTTATTTGCATGTTCCTCTTTTATTAACTCCCTTCGTACTCCTCTCCCGACTTCTATAAATACTTAGCTATATTCTATGAAATATGACATTTATTTATGTATTTCAAATTTTATCCTTAAACATAATGTTAAACTGTAAATACTTACCTGATCCTTTCCTAAAAAAATCCGTTCCTTTTTTATCCTCTTTCCATACCTTTTACATTTGTATGTGGCTGACGCACAAACCGTGCAGGCAATAAAGGAAAAAAAAAATGATTGACTGAATAAATATAAATAAATCATACGCAAGGCTGCCAAATGAGCAGTAGAAAAGATGTGTTCGCAAAACAAAAATTCCAACTAGACACCTTACCATATATAGTAAATAATCTGCCTATCAAGTTTTTTGATACTTCTCAGTGAGTGACCGACCGAGTACCGATACAAGTACTTACTTCACGATACTACTTCTATTCAGTTCTAAAGTATCGATGCCAAAAGTACTTGGTATCGAATAGTTACTTGTATTTACTCGTATCGTTCATACCTACAAACTATGTCCTGCCAAAACAGTGTTGCCAACTCTACGTCTTTTTACGTAGATCTACGTATTTTAGGCCTTTTCTGCAAACCTACTAACTTCAGTCCCAAAATCTACGTAATTTCTTCATTTTTTTCAAATTTGTAAAATAACTTAATTCACTAGAATAAAGAAGAATATTTTCTGTTACTTTACTTAAAAACTATACAAATGTTTATTGTTTATAAAGATGTATCTAAAAACTCTTGTATCTTGTAGAATAGGTTCCCGTTATTGGTTTTGTTGACTAAATTAATGCTGGACGCAGGATTTGTGAAAGCAGAAACCACAAAACTCTTTGACTTAGTAGGTACATTCATTACCTTAAAAATTGTATTTTTAAATTTTAAATATTATTCAATGAGTACTTACAAAATGACTTTCAGTCGATGAAGTTACAGGATTTAGCAAGATTTAAACATGTGTTCATGTGTAAGTATGTTTATTTCATTTCACTCAGAAAAAAGTACGTAAATGTACGTACTTTTCATATGCAAAATTTACCAATTCTACGTAATTTTCTCATCGGGCCTACGACTTTTTCAAAATCTAAGTTGGCAACACTGTGCCAAAACTAAATAAAAAATTGAGTTGAGTTGCAATGGTCAGCGGTTTGTTTTGTGACTAAATCAATATTTTCTATGCAAGAAACATGACTGTGAACAATACTATAGCTCATCAGCGTTTGATTCTTAGTGGAGATCGAGAAAGGTATTTAATAGTGGTTATCCTCGTAAAAAGTACCTACCGTTAGCTAGCAAATCAATTTGGGAACTTTTATTTATTAAACTGGAGTATTACATGGTAATTCAAATCGAAAACAAGTATAATCATATCTGTGTAATTAACATCCATTAATTTGAAAGGTGAGTCCTTGTTTTGCACACACATTAAATTAAAACTCATTGGGAGTGCAAAACTGCTACATCCAAACCGTTCGGGTAATTAGCTTTATTGCTTGCAAGAACCCAGTTTAATTATTTGCCATTATTCAAGTTGGTTTACTTTTGCAAGAATAATAGAAATATCTAAAATTGATATCCTTAACATCCTTCAGCCACTTGTTGTTTGTAAAATTCTATAAATACAAACAGAACACTATACAAATAAGTACTAGTATTTGTTTTTTGTGCTATGTGTGTATAAATTCGTACTGAAAATTACTGGTAAAGTTTAACTCTGCCAAAAATGTGCAAATATTTAGTAAGGCATCCTATTGTAGGAACTGGCATATAATTAAGTTTAAAGATTTCTTATTTATGAATTATACTTCATTAATAATATGTTGCTCGTTTTCTTTCAGATTCAAGGAATTATTAAGAAAGCGTTTAATTGAATGTGGTTGGCGAGACCAAGTAAGGATGCTGTGTAGAGATGTAGTAAAAGAACGAGAAAACAGTGATGTTAGTTTTGACATGCTAGTAAATAGAGTTACTCCTAGGGCTAGAGCACTCGTACCAGACACAGTTAAAAAGGAACTTTTGCAAAAAATTAAGACTCACCTATTAACCCAGAAAGATCAATAAATTATGGTATAACTGAAATTAAGTATTATCAAAAGTTGAAAACATTATAATTTGCTATGTAAACTATTCATAAGTTTTAAATAAATGATACACTCTATAACCAACAGTATATTTTATTTATAAACATTTTACATTTAGGCTAAACAAAAAATATATATATTGCTTATTCATAATACTGTAATTAGATCCTATTTGACTGTCATGAAAGTATTGCTGCCTAATGAATGTTGTCATGGACATTGGAATGACATTTTAAAAATCCACTTGAACAGGTGGCATTCACAAAATGTTCAAGTACTTACACACTTAGATAAGACTTGTTTAATTAAGACAAATGCAGAATATAGGCATTTACGCAATGGTAAGTGTATAACATAGATATTAAACATGGTACAACAATTTATAAGAGATGATAATCTAAACAGACATTTAAATTGAGCTAGAATTGCATATCAAAATACTTTTTGAGCAAGTTATACCACACAAAAAAATATGGAATACCCAAAACACCATGTATAAAATAAACCCTTCAACATAATTATGTATTTTAGTAAATGCTTACCTTAAAAATTATAGTCAGACACATTCAAACTACAGAACTGAAAGGAGAGGTTAGAAAGAAAGCAAATGAGACTAACAATATATAGAACACAGGTGTGCATAGATGGTCAATTTACAATTAGCACAACTACACTGAAAGATAGTAGGTACAAGTCACTTGATCTCTGAGAAGATATTCACAAGCAATTGCTTGCTTATCAAACATAAGTAAATTATATATCCTGAAACAATCTATTAGTATTTCATGATGATAGAGGACAATGGGTCCTGCCATCATGATGTCTAGTTGGTCTTACCCTCGGGAAAAAATATATTGTACATTTATACCAAATTAAATTGAAAGTAGATACATTTTACTTTCCAAAATGTTTTAATCAAAATAATACCTAAATAATTTATACTTAAATGCATTTAAAATGTTGGTAGATATAGAAAAAGTTCAAAATAGAAGTAGATGAGCAATTTATTTTCTTAATATAATGTACCTTAAAGCTCTTGAATACCTGATCTAATCTTGTTATTAGAATACATTTACTATGTACAACATATACAATGGAATGTAATTTGGACTTTTTTATACCTTTGATCAAATATATTTATCTTACTACAGTAGTTATTTTTAAGAATATCAGTACTCTCTTACAAAGATAGAGAACTATCGCAATAGATCTTTCTTTCGCTTAATTACATTATTTCTTACAGATAAATCTTAAACAAATACTCATTTGACAAGAATTCACTGAAAACACCAATTTGAATGGTTTTTGGGGAAATGTCCCCATTGATAAAATTTTAATTCATGTTTCGCAAACAGTAAGGCGGTTATCACACTGCACTAAACATAGAGGTGTTGAGGGGCGTGTTAACCCTAGGGCCTAGACTCGGATCTCGTGGAACTGCCCTTAACAATGTAGAGGGTACTCGCAGGGTATTATAGAGGATAGTATGCCGTAAGCGCTTGTAAGCCGCGCGGACTGCTCAACGGCTCCTCCGTTTCGCATCCGTAAGACTCGCAAGAGGCTAGGTGAGGTCCGTTCGTTGGTGTGCCCCATAAGGGCGCCAACGTCTATAACTAGAGATTTTACCAACGTAATAAAGAAAAGGGCCTATATAGAGTGCCATGGTCCAGGACGGCAGACTGCGAGGGGTATTTATTGCCTTATGTAACTTAAATATTAATTATACCATGCGGTTTTTGTATACAAATCAAGATATACCTACTTAATACATACACAGGTGCTGCAGTTTTAACATTGTATCAATAGGTACAACATAAGTAACTACGATGTTAAAATTGCATTCATAACCAAAGCAGATTGTGATAATCGCCTTATCTAGAACAAATTATATCAATATGGACGCCACCCAAATTACGATCGCCACGCAGGCATATCCTACGTTTTAATGATGTGAAGGCGGCAGCAGCTTCTTTATACACACACGTCTCAAAATTATATTTTCTGATGTTTCCGTCGCACATCCTTCTTTTAATATCACTAACTAAAAAAATTTAATATTACATGATGAACTGTTATTTTGGATTCTTTTCAGGTTCCATATAAAGTGAATATACTGAAATACAGGTTGTCTTCAAACAATTTATCGAACAGCAACATTATTTACTTATTGTTCATAAAAATAAAAAGCTATTTGACAAATTAAATGAATACTACCAACACATCAGTCTTGGGAACACAGAAATTGCTCCAAAAGAAATAAAGTTAGCTAGTATCCTGCTAACACTGTCATACAACTGTGAACATTCATTCTTTCAATTATGCAACTGGTTGAAATAGTAATAGCCAAAAGGATGTACCTAAATATGATCGCATTTTTACTTCGTTCTTTCGTAACTGTCTATCAACACGAAGATAATAAATAAATTCGAGTAATTGATCAATCAATTTACACAATACTGTCGAATACAAAATGATTGTGAAAAAATAATTTGTTTGTAGTGTATTCCTCTTAACATGACACTAAAAGTTAATCAAAACAAAACTATGTACAATGTATAATTAGATTACACAATTTCCTTCACTATATAACAATACATTTTAATTCTTGAAAAAGACAAAAAAAATATTTGTGTGTGAAACTTCAATTCTTTCAATTTATATCTCGTTATTATAACAAATAAACCTACTATAATTACATATAACAGAATAGGAACATCAAAATCTAAATTCCAGAATGATTTATCTCATCACAAGATGCCGATATCATAATTTATAATATAAATGTGAAAGCCTGATGTTTCTTAATCAGTATAGAAAAACAGCTGAACAAATTTCCATTAAATTCGACACAGAAAGTGCATTACTTCCCTGAATTGAAAGTTTGAAACATACGACGCTTATTATGTCAAGAAAAGGAAAAAATCCCGAAAGAAAAAAATACTGAATTGGAAAAGACAAAAGTTAAGGGCAGAAACTAGTGATTGATCTATACTATATATTATTAAACTTAACGAGTTTGAACATTCATTTTGGGTATTATTTAGAAAAATATCAGGAAAGACTGAATAAAAATAAGTAAGTACCTTTGGATACTTTAAACCATTATTTCGGCAGTGATTAACTAATAAAAGGTATACTAACTTATTGTCTAAAAAACGAACACGATTCAATCACTTAAATTAATTTAATGGTGATTATGGTTGACATTTGCGTGACGGTCAGACAGATGAACCATGAGAAACCTGAGAGACATATGATACAGAATATGTCAATCAACGTGGAAACAGGGAAAGGAAAACCGGAAGAATGGTTTCAATGCATATAGACTATGCCTAAGATAATTATAACAAAGATAATATGAAAAAGTGAACTGAATGTTGAAATTGAATCCATAATTTAACTACACATAATAAAAAAAACATAAAGTATATAAATATCTGAGACTAAGAAAAAAAACAATTGATTCACATTCCGAACCTCTGCCATTTTTTTGCAATATGTAGTAAAGGATTTTCATCATGGCGAAGTTACTTAATACGAATACAAAGTTGGTGTACATGAAAGCAGCTGAACATGATCTTCAATAAAAGCGTTAAGAACTATATGTGCAGGACGGCTGGTGTAGCGAGTAAAATTCTGCACTAACTGTCTTCATGCCTGAACTACACCGCTACTTTATATCAAATCGAACCAATTTATTTAGTTAGGTATAGCTACTACACTAATTTATTAATCAAGTACCTATCGGCATCTTGTGATAAGACTATACGTTTGCACAAGGGTTTACTTTTTATTAGAATTTCATTTTTAACGTCATTTTAAACAAGTTTGTGTAAATGTTAAAAATAAATGAGAAGTGACCCAGGTATACAATTGCGCAAAAAAATCAATCCACAGTAAAAAACTTAATTATTATTATGATAGGTATCAGCTAATGCGCCAATGTGGACGGTATAAGTAAAAAAAGATTATACACCTCACAATATTCTAGCTGCCTTTTCATAGTGGTGAGATTCGTCTTAAAATAATTTGCTTTATATACATACAAAATCTTTAACTACCAATAAATTCATATAGACTTGAACCATTTGAAGCCAATTATATTTTTTGATCACATCCAAGAGAGATTCACCGATATTTTTATAAGGAACTTGATGAGTCACTTAAACCATAGCAATTAATGAAGGACACGTTACGAATTTGATTTAGTAAATTGAACTAATAAATAAATATCTATAATATTGCGTGCACTGACAATCAGCACCAACAGAAATTAACAGATTGTCAACATTTTATGTAATAAAATTTTGAAGTATAACATAACGATTTCTACTAAAATATTCTCAACCCGCGCACGATTTGTGCTTAATTTTGATTCCTTTGGCTCTTTAAACATGAACGTATATAAATCATCACAAATACGATGGTAATGTACAATACTGCTATTCCTGATATATCTCTTTATAGTAATCACATACTGTATAAATCGGAGACCAATTCACCCTAAATCAGTAATAAAACAGTTTTAACTGACAAATGTAACTTAATATAACGCATCAAGTTTCAAAAACTCGTTATGGATAGGTCAGTCGCACCAAATATCTACCTTACACAAAACTATACAATTACAATAGAATTCGGTATGCTAAAGTTTTGCTTCTACAATTCAAAATATGTAAAATTCGATTATTTTGATTTAGGACTTTCTTCTAAATCTTCCGATTCTCCTAAAATGTTTTTCTTTACATAACGAATTTTTCTTCTTCGTCCATTGTACTATTTTTAAAACTATTTGAATTTGTAATTAAAACCGATTAAAAATATTCCTCAAATATAAACAATAATGGCTACAGACGGAGTTAACGTTGTATCAGTATTTGGTTACTATCGTGCATAAATTGTGATGAAGTTTTACTTTTTACTTACACTGAGATATTTCATAAAATCGGTTGACATTATTGCAGTCTTTGTTAGAGTGCGTATTCCAGTATATTTACGAATAAACGAAAGTGAGTAATGTCAATAAATTTCTACTAAAGCAATATCTTATATAAATTTCTTACCACGTTATTACAAACACTGCGTACCTTTTGCAAGGTCTTAATTTGTTAATAAGTGGATTGAAACTGGAATAGTGTAATCAGGCAATAATAAAATAATACCTTTATTCGGGAGATTACTATTATTGTTAATTTTTTTGGTGCAACAAACCGGGCCGAGACTAGCCTACACAGAAATGCAGAACTTTAGACGAATATAGCACACGTTTCTCTAGGTACAGTCTATGGCGGTATTATGCATCACTCGCAAGGCGGGAACGAATGGCCCTTGAGCTGGACACGATGGCATGAAGAGTGACCTGTATGATAAACCGATTTACCAATTAATTGCCAATTTATCTGTTATTTCACGGGACCAAACTAGTTTGAACACACATGACAGTACAGCCAACAACGAATCATAAATGTTTCGGACCTTGTCAAACAATGTTTATTAGGTGAAAAATTAATCTCAAATGAGCAGACCCGTCTTTCCCAGTGGGCACTTCACCTACCCACTACCACCCACCACCTTCACCACAGATCACAAATACCTAGTTCTTGTTAGATCACCAAACGGGGGTCATAGGGGCCCCATTATCCTAATATGCCCAGGGCCTCCAATAGGTCAAAGACGGCACTGCAAATGAGGGTGTTTAGGAAAATTTACGTCACCATTAGCACTGTGAAATGAGGTCTTTTGTATGAACTTTTTGGCGGGCATTAATCGAAGAGCATTTAAATTGATCCATAGACTGTGACAACATACGTGATTTGGCAGATGAATAGATCCTTAATAGCTCAGTGCTGCCACCTGGCGCCCGTCATTCCAAAAAAAACTTCATTTAGTGTGAAAAACAAAGTAGGTATCCGTTGTTGGCATTTGTATTTAAAACGAATATCGGTAGCGAATTAACAAAAATATTACTATTCTGATAAGAAAAAGCCAAAATCTGCTTAATTTTTATCTAAAGTAAATTGATATCTTCTACTGGACTTGAACCAGCGCTTTTCGATATTTGGGCAAATACAATAACTTACCGCTGTGCTACCGAGAGTAATGGACTTGTCATTCCTCTCCTCTTCATCTTCAAATTGATAAAAATTAAACCGATTTAAAGCGAACACGTATTTGTCTGTTGAATAATCGTCCAAAAATCCACAGCATTTAGAGCCTTATAACCATTGTAATATAAAAACAAGTAGACTCACAATCGCGCTCAAAGAGTGTTGGTAACACAATTTTCAAATATTTGTATCTGAAAAAGTTGATTTTGAACCTTAATATCACGACATAACGTGTTAATTTGAATAAATGTGTTAATGTGATCTGTATAAGTTAATGCGAACGCCGCTCGGGCGTTTTTTAAGCACTTTTGATAGGCAATTGGGAGTCGACTCGTTATTAAACGTCAATGCATAGGCATTTATTATATTATTAGTTTTTTTTATATTGAGCCAGGTAAATGTTAAGTTATAGAACTTAACATTTACCTGGCTCAATATAAAAAAAACTATTGAATTGGCAGTGGTGTCGATTCTGGCATGATTCTCTAAAACTAAACCTAAATTTGACAACTGTGTATCCTTGTTATATTCTATAGAGAATGAAAAAGAGTGATTGATGTTAAATTTAGTATTAAGTTTAGAGAACCATGATAGAAACGACTATTGTGTTTATATTTTTATTTTTAAGCATTCAAATGCTAGATGATTAATCTAAAAAAAATATAACTCGAACCGCACCCTCCGTTATCCTGGCTGATGCACTGACTAATTATTCTATCGCGGCCTTAATGGCCATGAAGAATTTCTTCTAGATTATCTTAGGTTGCAAGGCAGCATTGGAGGAGCTGCGCCATCGAGCTCGGTGGTTAGCGCGTTCGGCTGCGATCGTTGAAGTTAGGCAACTTTCGCAGTGGTCGGTCATTGGATGGGAGACCAAAAATCTTCTATCTCGAGTTCCTCCGTGCTTCGGAAGGCACGATAAGCCGTTGGTCCCGGCTGCACCTGCAGTCGTAAGCACCCGCAAATACGCACTGGGCCCACGTGGTGGGTCATGGCCCAATCTCTCTATTCCATTCATAGGGAGGGCCTGTGCCCCAGTAGTGGGGACATTAATAGGCTGATGATGAAGGCAGCATTGGCATTGTGTGTTAATCTAATTACCTTGTTTACGTATTAGGAGTGCAGTCCTCTCCTCTGGCGTGATTGGTGTCTCGGCCTAGGCACCGGCGCTCGAGACACGAGCACCAATGATGACGCCAATGCTAGGCGTACGGGCGCGCGGGCACCACCAGGCAATCTGATCGTACAGTGCCAATTTATCAATAGTGCTATTATATCAACTACTATACTACAGGCTGTCTCAAAAATAAATTTTATATTTATTTAGCTTACTGCGTAAACGCAACGTATCCGAGGGGCGCACACTGGACCAAGATTCGGAAATCGTGGACTTAGAGATCAAAGTTGAGCTATCGCAATGATTTTTTTTACGGGCAGCTTAAAACTTTTAATAGCAGAAACTTTTACTCTAGCATTTATGCCAAAAAGAACTTTTTCATAGTAAAAAAAAATACTTTTTTTTTCTTGTATGGAAAAAAAGTAACTATGGTGTTTTTTTTTAATGGTAAAGAGTATCAAAAAAGCTGCTAGTAGGTGTTATAGTGCTTACAATTATTGTAAATTTTTGCCTTGACGTCATATCCATAAGTCTGCATCTTTGGCGTCCACAGGCCTTGGAAGTTTCCATACAAAATGTATGGGATTTGTTAAGTAGTTGAGGGTAAATTTAGCATCTATGTGATTCGAAACAGAAAATAAACTACCAATAATAATGTTTGATTCTTAATACAAAGACCTGAACTTAAAATAAAAAACTCACTATTCGATTTTTTTTGTATAGAGAATTATTTGATATAATTAATTGTCTTCCATTGACACAAACGTTAGAAAAAATGACTAACAGGTAAAAATGTGATTATAGCGTGTGCGTAATATTGTCTGACGTCACAAACGTAAATCTACCGCTTTGGTTTCTTCAGCTCAAGGATGTTGAGTGAGCGACGAACGGGAGCGAAATGACTGTCGCAGACAGACCCACCTATATTTATAACACGTATGCGGGTCTTATACTATGCTGTCTGTACACCGATTTTGTGTCAGTTAATAGCGTGCGCGCATTAACCTCTACCTTGCTCTCTGTCTTCTCTATCCCCTATAATTATAAACTGGCCTACAAACAATGTGTGTGTCACATTAAGAAACAAAGACTATTTATGTTAGCTCTGAAAAGAGCTTTTTTAGGGCTTTGAAAAAAGCCGTTTGATGTATAATGGCGATGATCAAGCCAAGGGATCTGCCATTACTGGAGCTTCTGAAGCAACTACTTCTACTTCATCAATCTCGATTTCTTTTTCTGCCGGAAGTTGTAGGAGATCAATAGCTTCTTGGAATAAAGCCATCTTCTTGGACTTCCCATATTTTGGCCTGATATGAGGTATATAAGGATCTGACGTAATCAAAAAATTATTCAGTATATCTTCATTATTTAGGATTCTCCCCATCTTGCGAGGGTGATGTTCTCTGGTATTTCTAAACTCCTTGTTTCTAGCTTCCGATGCTTCTTCTGACATTATTCCTATGGGAAGACAAGAGAAATGTTGGCAAATGTCTGCCGCATGTATGAGAAGCTTGTGTATGCTTACTGGCATATTGTACCACGGATAATGGTGTACAAAAAGCTCAGCTGTCTCTTTGCAATATTCCCGGAATCTCTCAATTTTTATGGCGTTTCCGGAGGATATCACTTGCAAGATAACAGCAAAGCGCTTGATCAGATTTTCATCTATTTTTGTTATCCGTGCGCTGCTTTCGTATTCCTTGAAGAATCGCCTGGCAGTGTTGCCATCGTTGGTGGTTCCGAAACCCTGTTTCACGATGTCTACCAACAGTCCTGTTTCTTCCCTGAATTCTTGTTGTGTACAGTGCTTCCTGGCTCTTTTGAGCTCTTTAATATCGCCTCTTGCACACCACATTTTAAAATCCAAATTGTACGATACGTGCAAAAGACACTCCATACTTCGGATCCACATATGGAGAGAGGACAGTCCATACTGGTACACCTCAGTTCGCACTGGTCTTGAAATAACTTCACAGAGGTTATTCATCTTACTTGGCTTCGCAAGACATATATAGCTGGTAGGTAGCTGCAGATGGAGTATCTGTTATGATTGTGGATATCTTTCCATCAATCATCGTCATGTGCAAGTCATGGGAAATCTGGTAATCCTTGTATCTTGTCACATTAAGCTCTCGGATTTCTTCTTCCATACCTGATTACTCTTGTTTGACAAAGTCTTAGGTTTCCTTTGCAAACAGAAACTTCACCGGATGCAGTAAAATGTGGAAGAAGGGTTGGGATTCTCCCACATTATTATATAGACCAGGCTAGTCATAAATACCGATGAATCATCGAAATCAGGCAATCCACTTCGCTGTTTGTAATGACTTTGTGATGAGGATCCGTCGAAACCCCATTTGCTGGTCATCTTCATTTCACTTGTTGGTAGAACAAAAGGACCAACAACTTGCATTATCCTTCGTGCAGTCAAATCCAGCAACGCTTGTAGCTTTACTCTTGCACCAATTTCTGTAACCTCGATATCAGATTTATCTGGATAGCAATTCATTTTGGCATTGAGTATTTTGTGGTATGAAGGAAGCAGCGCAGTTCCCTCGATATCAGTCAAACAAGCCCTCAGCGTCAGGTACTTCCATTTTGCCAAATCCAGTGAAGTAGCAAGTAGAGATGTAACGACTTGACTTTTCAAACCGGTTCAAACCGGTTTGAGCATGGACCGAGTTGAATCGGTTAACGTCTTCGTAAACCGGTTCTACCGTGGCATTCGTTCGTATCGCGCTGCGCGCATGCGCGCCTGTCAATTCTTGTTTATGCCGCCATCCACAAATCGCGTGCGGCTCCTGACGTGCTTTACCGACCCTAATAAAACTTGACCGACCAATACGAACCGACTTACAGCAGCGGATACGGTTAGCGCGCATCGACAATTTAAATACAACAGCCATAACCGACTTACCTTAAACGGACTCTGGTAGATTTGACTAACTTGACGGTGTAAATTTGTTTTCATTATTATGTAATATGCGACGTAATTGCCCAGCTTCTAAAAAAATAGACCAAATATTATTCCTAAATAGTTGTAAGAAAACTTTTTAATTGTTGTTTGTACCAAATAAAGTTTCTACGACTCAAATGATTTTACAAAAATAAGTTACGTATTTATTATATTGGTGATTATTAAAATTGTATTTTATTCTCAAAGTTAAGAAGTACGGTTTTATGTAATTAATAGAGTTTATATATTTTTTTGTAATTTTTTAAACACGGTATTACATAGATATTTGTTTATTTTTATTTTGACATTTTTAATTCTGATTATTATTATTTGTTTTCATATTTTAATTGTTATTTTTCAATTACCTTTAAATATTTGCACGATGTAATATCAATAAAATATGTAGAATTAAAAAAAAATAGCACCTGTACGAGTAATCGTACAGTTTAGGTTATAAATAATATGTTCTAATTTAGGTCACGTAGAAACAAGTCATTTACGCGCGGTATTGTGCAATATGCTTAAGCTACTACTTTATAATATTAAATTTACATGCAAATAAACAGTGTTAGAACAACTATCATTGGGTTTGTTTCGTACATTAACTTTCCCTTACAATTACAATCTGGCACTCTTCTCATATACTGTAGACACACTACAGTTTATTTTGGTCCTTCGAGCCGGATACACAATATGACAGTGAGTTTTATGCTTATGAAAGATCATACAAAAGTATCAAGAAAGCTCTTAATCTGAAGCTTGCCTCCACGGTGCATCTCCAACAGTCGACACCACAGATAGACATCCCTACATTCACGGGCAGTTACATACAGTGGCCTACATTCTATGATCTTTTTGTAGAGAGTATCCATAACAACAATCTGCTCACAAAGACTCAGAAGATGCAGCATCTGAAGGGAAAACTACGGGGTGATGCCGAGCGCCTCATCCAACATCTGCACATCACTTCCGACAACTACGATACAGCATGGGAGCTGATAACACACAGATATAACAACCCTCAATTGCTGTTCACAAAGCAAGTTGAAATCTTTATGAATCAACCAGTCGCGCACAAACAATCGGCATATGAAATAAGGCGTCTTTTCGATACGTCTATGGAATGCATACATGCCATACAGAACCTCGGTATCAACACAAGTACCTGGGATCCTATTTTGGTTCATATCATCGCCAAGAAGCTGGATGCCGAGACGTATAGTGACTACAAAGAGGCACGAAAGTCACCACGTGACTTGCCATCGCTTTCAGAGCTTATGAAATGAGTACAAGGACATTCTTGCAACAATAAATGAAGAGCTGCTCAACAAGATCAGCGACTTCAACATGCAATGGCACTTTAATGCGCCAGCCTATCCCTCAGCTGGCGGTCTGTGGGAGGCTGCCGTAAAAAGCTTAAAACACCACCTACGGCGTGTGATTGGGGACCAGAAACTCACGTACGAAGAGTTCATCACTTTACTCTATCAGATTGAGGCCTGCCTTAACTCGCGACCTTTACTGACCTTGAGTGAAAGCACAGATGATGAATACCTACCACCGGGACATTTCTTAGTTGGTGGACCTCTAGTATCAAGACCTCAAACGGATCCTGATCATATGAACTTGAACACCCGTTGGCAGATGATTCAAGCTATGAACAAACATTTTTGGAAGAAGTGGTCATCAGATTACTTACAACAATTACAAGTTCGTACCAAATGGAGAACACCTTCGAAGAACCTTGAAGTTAACGACATCGTCCTAATCAAGGAAGAAAACTTGCCGCCTGGAAAGTGGCTCATAGGAAGGATTATTAACGTACACCCTGGTAATGATGGATATGTACGTGTGGTGTCCGTAAAAACGAAAAACGGTATTATGAAGAGGCCAATTTTAAAGTTATCGCCTTTATTTATAAAAGAGGAGCATACACAACCCCAAATAAACAACAGCGTCCTATCATTGACATGTGATGACGTCACGAATAATACCGAAACGAGAGAACAGCGACCAAGGCGCAAGACTACAAAGTCTATGGGGGCAATTTTCCAGATAGCAATGATGCTGTTTATTTTTCTATTCACCCCCGCCCAGTGTTCATATAACATAACAGCCTTGAATAACAACCAAAACATTTATTTTGATAAAATGTATGACATGA